GCTGAATATAGAAGCCTGCCCTCGCTGTGCTACATAATGTGCAGTGAGGACAGGGAAAACGGTTGTTGTTCCTAGTGGCTCCGCAGTAGAGTTGTTTTTGGTGTTTTCATTTTAGTTTTAGTCTAGTCTTGGTGTGAAGCTGTCATTTTAGTTTTTATTAGTTTTAGTCACATTCATACTCTTTTTGGTCTAGTCTAGTTTCAGTCGACGAAAACTGTATTTTAGTCTCTTTTTAGCAATGCAATTCTATTTAACCTAGTCAATATAGTATAAGTACCTAGTAGTGTAGAGGAAACCAAACGTTTCTTTGAGCCAAACCCATTTCAAACAGGGTTATCTTATTATATTATTGTTACCTTATAGATCAAGAATACATCCAATACACATTTTGTGTGATTTTGTGGCCACATTTCTCCCCATCTTTTTCCACAACACATTGTTTTCTTTTCCACTTCTATGTAATTAAAGTTTTTCCAAATGTTGTTGCTTCTTTCCCCCCCGTGACGAACCCCGGCTGGCCGGCCATCGGTCCCTTTCTCTGTGTCAGACTTAACTTTGTTTGTTGTCGTCTTCTAAATAATGCCGCGAATGGGGCTTAAGGAAGTGACATCACCTGTGTCTGCGCAGTGCGGCTTGATGTGGCCCCTGAAGTGAGACAGGAAACAGAAATACTGCAAAATAATAATAACGCGACTGAACGAGACGAAATAACATTTCATTTTGGTCAAGGAAAATAAAGAGACATTTTGGCATAGTTTTTATTTTGTGAACCACATTTAGTCTCGTTTTTTCGTCAACAATATTGCATTATACATTTAATTATAGTCATCGTCACACGACCAGCATTTTCGTTACGTCTCATCTCGTTTTTGTCACGCGATAAAGGTTCGTTGACGACGATATTTAGTCATAATTTTCGTTGACGAAAGCAACACTACTCTGCAGTTTCCGTGCTGCGGTGCTAAGTTGTGTCGGATTGAATCTCCCTGTTTCCATAATGTCTTGGTCTTTGGCTCAGAAAATCGAGCACAAACACTCAAACCTGTGAACCACTTCTGTTCTTTCCTACATTCGTTCTCATTTGCCCTTCATTGAGAGTGTACTGCTTTAATTCCCATGAAAGTAGCAACAGAAGTTAAAATCTTGGCTTGTCTTCAGCTTATTACTTTGACTTTGTGTCTGTAGGACATGATGTATAAAGCTGTTCCAGCTTATCATTAGCCTGCTGTTGTATTGCTGAGTCAGCACCTACGTCAGTCTGATTTCACATGACTCTATCCAGACTCGGTTTGCTTTCCTTCACATTTTATTATTAGCTTTTTGATTCACAGAGTTTAGTTAAGTCACCACACTGTCAGCCAAACATCTGACACAACAACTAATAATTGCATCAGGATATCCATACTGAACTGGCTGTTATGGCCCCCAGTATAGCACTGGTAAGAGTTACTGGTCCCTCATTCGTCTCTGTGTGCTGTAGTGAGAGTCAACTAGCAGAGGCAGACTCGGTGGTCATCTGCCAGCCAGCTGTGCTCATTAATTGCTGACTGATTACTGAACAGAACTTCAGTAATCAGGCATACAGAAAATGTAGAGAGGAAGCATATTTCAATATTCATCAAATATATTGATGCCTTGACAAATACACAATTGTAAAAAAACTGATGGGAACAAAGACGGCTGATATTTATCAGATTTCTATACATACAGAGACCTGATGAAAAGTGTGACTTAGACATCCAGGGAAATGTGAGCTTAGCTGAGGAAAGGTCCTTTAGTTGAGAAGATTAATAGGAGAGCAGATTATGACTATGGGGTCAGCCCCACTGGACAGAATGGTACTGGCAGTGATGGTAGGGTAGATAACACAATCCCCCATAGAATTGAATGGAGAGGGCTGCATTTTTTTTTTTTACACCTTTGAAACTCAGTCTGAACGCGGCCTTACTGTTATATATATTATATATGTATAAAAACCCCTAAAGATGTATCCCAGCCCTGTTTAGGGCAGAAGACACACACACGTGCTACTAAAAAGCGGCTTTTCTCATATTAACACATACATGAGTTATTTGCTGTTGGAATATACTGTATATGCAGACAAAAACAAGGATAAAAGGTCAGTGTAACTGTGGGAAGAGAGTTAATACTGACATTCAAATAACAGCAGGGAGATAATACAACAGTGGCATCTTTCATGGCATTGCATTTTAACATCACAGATTCCTCTACAGTTTCTTTTGAAAGCTGCCCTGAATGGACCAGTAGTTGCTCTGGATGAATACTGGCAGTTCAGACAGAAAAGAAGACATGTTGTCGTCAGAATGACTTCTATACCTTCTCCAGGTAATTGAACTCCATGGCTATCTCTCTGAAGAAGAAGTAGATGTGAGGTCCCCACTCCACAGCACTGACAAAATATGGCTCTATATAGCATGAGAGAGGAGAAAAAGGGGTAAGCACATACAGTTAAAAGGGGTGGGTGGAGAGAAAAGGGTTTAATGAAACATAGATGGACCATGACAAACAAATAGTAAACACCATCTCCATTTCCAAATGCATCATTCACTCCCACACCACCGAGGTAACACGAGGGCAGTGAGAAACAGGCAGAGGCCATGCTTCATTTCATTACATGGTGAAAGGGGATTTCACACCAAACAATAAGCACATTATGACTCCCTGATGTTTCTGAGAAATGAGTTTCATGCTATGCATTTTGGCGCTATTACACTCAGGAGCAGCTACAAACTGTGTGTCTGATATTGTGTGTTATTTGTTGTCCCATTGTCATTGTGACGTTTGGCTGCAGACTAACTGTGGATGAGTCAAATGCTGTCAAGGAGCAGTGGGTCTGACAGCTTTATGTTCAGTGACCTGAACATAAAGCTGTCAGACTGCTGATTCGGCCCTCTGCCATCGATCCTGCATGCTACTAAGTGATGAAGACACACAATCAATCAGACTCTGACAACATCAACAGACATGAATCTAATAAAAAAATTAATTTGAGAAATTGACATTAATACACCTAACCTGAATACAACAAATAAACACACTTTAACAAGCATAGAAAAGCTTGTACAGCAAGTACCTCTAAACCACTTGGAGTCGTGCTTGACGGTGCGCAGGGCGGGACTGTCTCCGAGGCTGCGGTAGATCACTGCATCAATGGCCAGGAAGTCCGTCACTGTGGCTGTAAAGAGGTTCCCCTCTGACACACAAAAACACACACATTAGTGAGGTGGACTACATGCCAAAGCAGCAGCATAATCTAAAAGCTGAAGTGAGTGTTGTTGTTTCATAATTTTGTAACTGCTGTAACATAACTGCACTTTAACAGTGCACTCACAAAAACCCCAGCATTTTTTTTTTTTTTTACTTCTAGTTAATAGCAGATAATGGGCTGATGGCTGAACAGTAATGGCTGTCAACAGTTTCAGCCACACAACATCGTTGATTTGATTATAGAGAAGTGTTTAAACCTGATGAATGGCTTGCTTCTGTTGAGCTCATGTACAACAGCACATTCAAGCATCAAAATATCTTTCATGGAGGAACAATGATATCCCTCAATGATATCTATTGCTGTGATCACTGAAACAGCACCTCAGTATGAAGAAGTAACAAAAGGTGTCTTACCTGCAAACAGAGCTACATTGGCATGTTTGGGATCATAAGGGCATCTCGCCATCCCACTGACTGTGTCGCCTACCATCTCCAGTGTGTCTCCCTTTAACAACACACACACACACACACACACACAGAAACATGCATCAATCAGCAAACTCCAAACAATATAAATACATCTACAGCAGCAGCACGAAAACAAGCCACAAGAGAATGGCAATTAGGGAGTGTTACCGTTAAGTGCAAACTAATGATTCAGTAGTGGCAATTAGGCACAGCAGCAGCAACAAAGGAGTCACGTTCTCATGCATAAATAAAATAGATAAACACACACACACACACGGGTGATATGCTCACATCAAGTGACGTTGAAAATTCATGTTTCTAGCGCTCATTGAAACATGCACATATATAAACTGAAGTCTCTCTTTCTTTCCATCCTTTACATAAACACATGCACTTAAAAGGAAACCACAAGCAAAACAGGCTAATTCTCATCCATGGTTGAAAATGAAATAATTTATTGGTGTCATTTCATTAAAACCCAGCTATGAAGAAAAAAAAAAAGCAGCTACCATTGCTAACTAGTCCCCAGAGAAACAGACAGCCTATCAGGCAGAGACAGGTGTGTTACACACTGCTGTAGCATGTCATTAGTGGCTGACAGATAAAGAACCAGGTATGTGTGAGTGCTCCACTGTTGCACTGTGTTTGAAAAGTAAGAGACTGAAAAGAGCATTTTATCTGAAAAAGCCTTTTATAGTGAAAGGATTTTTGTCTCTCATTCTCTTTCCATTCTCTTTCAGCTGCCTTCATCTCTCTCTTAATATTCCCGCATGGTGATGAGAAATCTGGTGAGCACATGATTAAAATGTATGTGTGGTTTTTCTTCCACACATTTGAAATCGTTACTTTAATTGAGTGAGACAGGGTTTGGTTGAGAAGTCGAACACATCCAGCTGCATGGTGGAGGAGTCAGTTGAGTTGCTGCTGGATGGATGCACATCCTCAGAGACAGACTGAAGGATTTTGGATGAAGTGGGTAAAATCTTCAGGATAAACTTTGGCTAACTGCTCAAATCACACCAGTCAAAGATCATACTTGTAGCTTAAACAATAGTATCTCTTAAACTCTGCCTCCAGGCTGAGCAAACACTTTACATACTTAAAAAGACATCAAACCAGGGAAACAAGTCACATATCCACCCTCACTCTCTAAATACCCTCCCCTTCCTTTTCTCGCCTCTTTGCATTGTTCTTGATTATCCGTCTCTGACTCTCGGTGATAACAAGCTCGGCAGACCACAAAGTTTAACTGTTATCTCAGGAAAACAAGACACTGGTGTTGCCAGACAACGAGGTGAAGTAACACCATCTCTGAACAAACTTCTCTAATCAAATGTGCATTTCCACCTGAACAGATCATACTAACACACACCTGAACTGTATTAATTATGCTATGGAAGCAGCACCTCTCATTTCAAAAAAGGTGACAAGCCATTTATCAGTGACATCAGATCTATCATTAGAATTAATGCATGGATGGACCAGTCAAATGTTAGGGACAGGTACAGCTGTAAGGGTAGGTGTGGGCATGTTTAGTCCTTCCTTACAGTATAGTTGGCACATAGTGGATTGAAGGCGTTTGTCCCACACACAAACAGGCCTCCTTGTCTGCTGAGCAGCACCTTCATGAAGTTACGGCATTCGTCCTGCAGAAAAGACAAAGAGAAAAGAAAGCTTAATATGCAGCAGGAGTACTGTAAAACCGAAAAAAGGTAAAGTGATGAGTGAACAGAGGAAGAACTGGGTTTATTTTCAGAGACTGATTATCTAAGCGGCTCTGTGAAATGAAGCTTTTCAGTTGCCTGATGTGTTGAATTATCACACCATTAACGCTGTCAGTCATATTGATACAGTCTGAATGTAGCCTGCAGAGACATTAAGTGTCTGCCCTCTTCACACACATACAGTTGCTGTTGATTGGCAGATGGAAATTCAAACCAGCCCCAGGATTTTAAAACAAGCAACACATTTATTTCTCCACCATGGAGGCATCAAACTTTGCACATGAAGCCTGCCTAATGACTAAATAAATCTGAGTCAGTTTCATTTTTCTTTGGAATAAGTTGTGTAAGCATCACATGACTTAACTGCCCCCAGGATGCATAGCAATAAATGTCTTGAGCTACAACATACAAGGACACCACATCAGTGTGCTCACATGGTAGCAATTACTAAACATTTGTCATAGTTTCCTGTGATGATCGCCCCATTTTCCCCACCTACAGCATAAGTTCTGCTAACTATCTACATTATTGCAACCATTTTACATGCAGTTTTTAATCATGTGGTAAAGATTGCTAATATTTAGTCTATTACTTTTAAACATGACGATTTTTCCACTGGTTTATCTACTTCACCATTTTGATAGTCAATATTTTTAGTAAACTGCATAACCAGGGGCCTATTTCAAGAAGGCGGTTTTGTCGAAACTCAGAGTTTGTTAACCCCGAAATGAGGGCAACTCGGAGTTTTCGGTTTCAGAAACGGAGGTAACTTAAACCTGTGAAAGCAGGGTAAGTTAAACCCGTTTCAAAAAGAGAGGTAATCTAAACTCAGAGTCAGTTACTATGGCAACTTACTCTGTGAACCTAACCTGCTTGGGAGCAGGTTTTGTTCGGGAAACCCAGAGTTTCCTCCGGTCTCCGCCCCTTTTTAAAGTGAAAGGTG